GGAAACTATTTTTTGCAACTTTATTGTATTTAAAGTTTTGAGGGATAAACCTCTTAAACTTCTCCAAGTAGAAATATATGTAAACAAAACAAAAGCGATTTTCAATTTTTTTTGTAGTTTATTGCACTTTTTTGCAATTAATGGACTTAATGCAGACATATTATTATAATATGGGCTATAACAGTTGTATTGATGTATAGCAACTTGAAATGCTCCCACAAATGGCACTACAGCATGTAAAAAAATAATATAAGCTCTGGCGGACTTGGTTCTATAGTAGGTCTTAAAGGGTTAAATAAATATCGTCAAATAATCGTGATTATCATTTTCGCCATAATCGAGCAGCCCTATACACAACTGTACTTTACTACAACTGTACTGTGAACTCAGTACTGTAGTACATTTCCCAGACTGGTTACTCTGCAGCACTGATGATACACACGTAAACACTGCAGCCGTTCACACTCGCAGACACACAAACAGGCTGTGTGTGTAGCTCCGCCCCCGTGACCTCCCCCCAACCTCCATCACAGAGACACACTGTTCAGTGTGGCCGGACAGTCATCCCTCACACACACTCACACACACACTCGCATGATGGCTGCTGTCTCTCCTCCAACGCCCCGATCCTTCATCGCCCTCCTCGTCCTCCTGTCAGGTGAGAAGCACACACTCTGACATCAGCGTGACATCACAGCACAGGTCCTGACTCGTGGGTGTGACAGCGGCGCTCAGGTCTGTTTGTATGGCGTGAATGACGCTTCGTGGCTTCCTGTCTCTTTGTCTGTGTGAGCTCGTCTGTTCTCGTGGTCGTCTCCTGCTGGTCGACTGTTTCTCTTCTATGAAGGATTCAAAGTTTACCCAGCACAGAGCACCGGTCAGCTACAGGAAGTCAGTACTGCGTGTTTCCTGAATCCCGCTTTTTTTATTCGATCCTTCGCTCTTCTTGGTCTTATGTCACATCACAGCATCTCGTGTGTTTACATGTGCAAACGTCATGTTTGTGTGTTTGTGCTGCAGGTGGACGGTTTTCGTCCGTTTCCTCTTTTAAAGTAATGGAAGGGGGCGTGGCCTCTCTGTCCTGCCAGTACTCCGTGCAGCGTTTCGGGCTCAGCCGGGTCTGCTGGGGTCGCGGCTGCGGGACCTTCTGGTGCAGCAACATCCTGGTGCAGACCGACGAGAACGGCGCCGTCACACAGGTGTGATTACATCACAGAGGTCAGATTACATCACAGAGGTCAGATTACATCACAGAGTCACAGAGGTCAGGCATAACGTTGAGAACTTGATTATCTGGGGTTACCTGGCGCTCCTGTAAGCTCCTCCCTGTTTATTCTTCTGTTGAATTCATGCTCCTCCCCCTGGTTGTATAACCCTGGTCCTGGCTGCAGGTGGAGGACCGCTACCAGCTGACGGGGGACATCATGGACGGGCAGATGGACCTGGACATCCTGAACGTGAGGCGGACAGACAGCGGGCCGTACTGCTGCAGGGTGGACATCAACGGGCTCTTCAACGACCAGAAGATGATCATGAACCTGAGAGTGGTCAAAGGTGAGCGACTGGTTTTATTTCTGAGGTTCTCCAGAGTTTGGTGATTCAATGTTTGTCCCTCTCAGCTCCGGTCTCGGCGCTCGTCCCCAGCTCTCCTCCTCCAACAACAACAGCGAGCACAACGACGGAGCTCACGACTGAACGAGTGACGGAGTCACCGACCTCCACAGGTGTGACGACAGGTGAGGTGAACTGTCTCTGTTAACTCTTCTCTGTGATAGACGTCCACTCCAGGTCTCTGGTCTCTGTCTCGTTTAGCCAACTGGAAAACTCTGCTGTCGTCTCAGCTGGACCTTCTGAGGAGAAACTCCACCCTGCTGCACGCTGACACCCTCACTGTGAGTAAGCACCACCCTCGCCATTACCTGCCATCTTAGGCCACGACGTGTTCGGGATTGTACAGCCACTAGCTCATAGCTTAGCTTAGCATGGAGGCTGGAAACAGGGCAAACAGGTGAGACCAAAGCGGAGCATGTTGGAGCAAACAAACACCAGGAGCTCGTGCGTACACCACAGTGTTGAGAGTCAGGGTGAGGACGTCCGTCCCACAGTTACCGCTGGGAACAAACTGGGTCATCAGCAGATCCCAGCTCAGCAGCATGAATGGATGAAACCTCACCGACCTTCTGGTTAGTGGCTGCCTGCTCTGCTGCCTGAGCTACAGCCCACTTTAAGAGTTCATGTCCTAAATTAACCGTTTCAGCCTCGGACCTTTGTTAGCCAGCTCCAAGCGAAACTGTCCGTGCTGCAGTCTGATGAATCCTCTCCACCTGCAGGTGGAGGACACTCTGCCCTCCCTCTCCCTTCAGATCAACGTTCCCGTCCTCTCTCTCTCCGTCAGCGTGTTGATGGTCCTCGCCGCAGTGTTCCTCTTCCTGGCCTTCAGACGTACGTCCTCCATGTCTCTGCAGCACGTTTGCACACAGACACAAAGATGAGGTTCATTTTTTGTTTTCTGCTGCAGGTGGAATCTACAGACGAGCCTTAAAGCCCGGCTGGTGAGTTCAGCACAGGAAGCAAACAGCACGCTCACACGCTGATGTCACACAGCGACAGCCAATCACAGCCAGCCAGCTTACTCTCACACCTGAAACAAAGCACGCAGAAAGAAGCACAGACTAGGGCTGAACGATTATGGAAAATAATCTAATTGCGATTTTTTGCCCCAA